CAATTTCTTGATTGGGATATTGTTTATTTGATGTTAATCTTAGAGTTAATCTATGCTCATCTGGGTGCTGACTGCTGGTAGACAGGTACTTAGGTCTCTTTGTTCCCCTTTTGGCTCATTGTCTTTTTTGCATAGTCTATAGATATTATTTATGTCTATTTGTCTATTGATGGCTAATCTGTCAGAGTGCCAGGTTTATAGAAATTCCCTGGTGTTTTTGGACTTGTCTAGAATAGTCATAGTTTCCCAACTGAAACTATAATTAAGTCTGTCCATATGTTGTAAAATTAAAATGTTTTCATCATGTCTTCTAACTATTAGTTGGTATTCATGGATGCGTTTTGCCAGTCTTCAGTCTGTTTGTCCTACGTAGTGGTTGTTGCAGTCATTGCTCTGTATGTTGTAGATCAGGGGTAGCTTAGCTGGCTCAGGAATTCTGGGAGTTGAAGTCCACGAGTCATAAAAGAGCCAAGGTTGACTACCCCTGTTGTAGATGATCCTGTTTTTTTAATTCTGGGGCTGCTGGGTATTTCGGTTTGCTTAGGATGTTTTGAAGGAATTTAGTTGGCTTGCGTGCTACGCTGATTTCTATGTGGCTGTAGTAGTCTGTCGTGGCTTTTGAGATGTTCTTGATAGTGTTATTCTTTTTAGGGTCTGTGTTAGTTGTGCTGTATTGGGTTCAGTGGTGAGGCACTTTTTGATAAAGTTGCGTGGATATCCATTTTGTTAGAATGTGTTGTATAGATGCTCTATAATCTGTTAATCTGTTGTTCATAGATTAACTCCAAGATTAACATCACTCTAACAATATGAATGCGCCAACACTGGAAGTTTTTAAGAAGAAACTGGACAGCCATTTGTCCGAAATGGTATAGGGTTTCCTGCCTGGGCAGGGGGTTGGACTAGATGACCTCCAAGGTCCCTTCCAACTTTATCATTATTATTATTATTATTATTGTTATAATAAAGTAAATAATACCCCAATCAAGAAACAGCCAAACAAGCCAATAGTACACAGCTCAACCAAAGAGCCTCTATAACCACTCCCACCAACATTGACAGGGCAATAAACTGAGAGCAAATCTCACTCTTTACTAACACTGATGATGTTACCTAGTTTGTTAATGAAACATCTACAAGAAAACAAGCAAGCTCAGAGAACACCAAAAACCACTCATTTCAATCCTATGCTACAAATATTCTCCTTTATTAATTCACTGGTTGCTGATAATCACAGAAGACTAAACCATATAATCTTTGCAACATCTGAAATTAGTTGTTTAATATGTATTTATCCTTCTGAGTTCAATTCTTTTGAACAGTAGTAAGTGAAATAATGGCAAGGAGAAGTAGCATTAGCTTTTGCCAATATTAAACAGATAAAAGACAGAATAGGGAACAACCTAGGTCACTCTAAGGTTTGCAGAAATCTCAACTTGGAATTTCTACACTGGACTAAAATGGTTTTGTATCCAGCAATTGTAGAACCTTGGGACACTTTTGAAGCATGTACCATCTTTTATAAATAATACCTTTAAAATGTTCTGTTGTATGTTTCCATTTTAAAGTTTTACACAATTTCCAATCTTTTTCTTCAAGTCTACTTAATTTTGATATTAAAAAGTGTGTTGATTTAAAAAAAGAAATTATTTCCATTGAATTATCTAATATTATCTATCAGTTTCTCTTTTAGTATAGTACTTAAAACTCATGACAGAACTATTGTATCGCTTCTCTATTTTATTTTCTGTTCATGTTTTACCTGTTTCGAGCTCACAACCTTGTGTTCAAAGTGATGTCCTACAAAATTCAATTTGATATTTCAACTAAGTACCCATAGGACTGAAGTCCTTCTCTCTCTTTAAAACAATCTTCTTTTAATATTCACAATGGCTCTGAATTCTTTAATCCTGAAAGGACACTCAAGAGAACTCAAATCCACGCTCAAAACCATTTACTTTGAAATATCATGAGTCTTTTAGAAAGAAATTATATATTTTCATTCACATTTTGAAATTGATTTTAGACTTTTCTTTGCTGCATCTCTGCATTTCTGTCTCAAATTTCCACAACAGGGGATTCGTTTAACTTTACTTTCACTAATGTCTTCCCTAGTTCTTTCCTCTGCTATTACTTCCTTGACTTCTCATAGGTCTACTCTGTTTGCCTTGTATGATTCCCACTCTGCATGAGTCTTTTCCTGACACTCTACCTTGGATTATCTTCACACAAGCTTTACAACTTTGCTTGTACAGAGACATTAGCAGACTGTCAGTTAGCACAATCACCAATTACTATTTAAGACATTCTGCACTCTTCTGTGACTCATACTGCTATTGTACATCACGTCCCTAAATCTTTCCTTTCAGCATCTAAACATTTAAGTAATATTATACACAATGGTCCTGAAATGTAATATTATACAAAAGGGTCCTGCTATGCATTATATTATGATTCACCAAGTTGTACAAAACCATCTAGTTAATCTAAACCAGTGTTTCTCAACCATGGCAACTTTAAGATCTAAGCCAGGACTTTTCAACCAGTGGTACACGTACCACCTGGGATACATTAGCACGTGGCAGGTGGTATGCGGCCCTGCCCAGCCAAGGGTAGTGGGGAGGGAACAAGCCAAAGCAGCACAGCACAGGACTTACTGTGAGAGAGTCCTCCGGAGCTACAGAGTGGCTGGGGCGAGACAAAGGCCCCAGGATTGGCACTTCCGGCTCACCCGGAAGAGAAAGGAGGAAGAGGGGTGCGCAGACAGTAGAGACTATATAAGGAGGCAGTTTGGGCAAGAGAGGGAGAGAGAGAAAAAGATGCAGCCTTGGGAGGAGGCAGAGTCAGCTGTAGCTGCACCGAAGGGAAAGAAGGAGGAGGGTGGGGGGAGAGGAGACGAGACCAAGCAGGCTGGGCATGAGCCGATCTACAACTTCTGTGGCAGCCATCTGTGCTGGCAGCAACAAACAGGCAAGAAACGCAGCGGGGTAGGGGTCGCCCTCTACGAGGAATGAAGAAAGGCAGCATCGGCTGCAGGTGAGGGAGGGAGGGAGGGAGAAGTTGTCAATGAGAAAGAGGGAGGTAGAGAGCAGGAGGAAGTGTTGGAAGGAAAAGCCCGGGGCTTGCTTTCCAGCTGGGAGGCTATACCTTTAAGAGAAAAGAAAAAATAGACCAGAGGAAACAAACCTCTGGCTGCTGCTGCAGGAGATGTTTAATGGCAGAAGTGAAGTGCCATTTCAGCTGAACAACAAATTGGGAGAGTGGAAGGATTCTTATGTGCTTTTGTGACTTTGAAGTTCTGGGATTTGTGAAATGTGGCCTTTGTGTTCTTAAGGAGTGTTTGACAATTTCTATTTGGCTGATGGCTGATGTCTCATGTTAGATTCTATTGCTCTGTTATTGTTAACTGTAAGTTTTGCTGCAAGGGATTTTGAAGTATTTTTCTCCTGAATGGATTTTGCCTTTATTTATTAGCATTCCTTTATTTATGAATGGAGCCATTTGGCGAGGCTGCCTTAGCTGGCAGCCAGTACTTACTACATTTGTTTTTTCTTCGAGCCAGCTCCTTAACTTTCCTTTCTAGCCAGTGGCTAATTCTTAAAGGGGAATCGCCTTTTTAAGCTAATTCACTCAGCAGCTTGTCTTTTCTGTCTCTGGAGGCTTTTCCTTGTTTGATAAATATATGGAAGAGGGAAAATATGGGGGGGGGGGCAGTTCAAATTCTTCCTTCAGAAGGAGATGGGAATGAGAAAGAGGGAGGGAGGGAAAGAGTGAGGGAGGGAGGGAAGGAAATCCCGCCTTAGCACTTGGCCACCAGCAGCCCTGCCATTGACTTTGCTTGTCAAAAGGTTGCAAAAGGTGATCACATGACCCTGGGACACTGTGACCATCATAAATATGAATCAGTTGCCAAGCATCCAAATATAAATCACATGACCCTGGGGATGCTGCAATGGTCATAAGTGTGAAAAATGGTCATAAGTCATTTCAGTGCAATTGCAACTTTGAACAGGTTTTTTGGGGGGTCAAGTTTTTGACACCTTGCTAGGTGGTACTCAAATACTGCCATATCCTAAAAGTGGTACAATTGGTGAAAAGGTTGAAAAGCCCTGATCTAAGCTATAGTCCAGTGATGGCGAACCTTTTAGAGTCTGAGTGCCCAAACTGCAACCCAAAACCCATTTATGCATCGTCGAGTGCCGGGTGGGTGTGGTCCATTGGCTGGGTGTGGCCCATTGGTTGGGCGTGGCTGCGGTGGTAATGGCAGACTGGGTGGGGCTAAAAAGTTCAATCAATCAATTCCAACTTTGCAAGATCTTTTTTTCCCCGTGAGAAGTTGAAATTGACTGATTGAACCTTTTTTTTTTTTTTTTTGCACACGGCGGCAGAGGCCTAAAGTGAAAAGGTTTTATAAAACCCAGCTGAAGGCCTAGGACTGGGGCAACAGCGCGTGTGCCCACAGAGAGGGCTCTGAGTGCCGCCTCTGGCACCTGTGCCATAGGTTCGCCACCACTGCTATAGTCTTTTGTAACATCCAACTGCAAACCATGATTAAGAAAATAATAGTTCATAGTTTATATCGAACACTGAAATACAGTATATTAAGCTTAATAAAATAGAGCATCCAGTGCCTCTGAAATGCAATGCTCAACTTAAAATCGGGGGTAAGCCACAATGTTATTTGTTTACATTTATATTTTACTTTTGTTTTTGAAATTCTAGCAAAATCACAGTTTAGCATTGTGTACGCATGTAATAGGTACCACTGAGGGAAAGAAAATGGGAAAAATAGGGGTTAAAAGATTCACTCTGGCATATTCTTGTACAATTCGTCCACTATTTAGCATCATGTACAAACTCTCCTAAGTGAAAACTCTGACAGGAAAAATGGCAGGAAGAACAGATACTATAAATTATTAAAAGTGGGCTGGAGCAAATCCATGCTAGACCCACAGAGATCTTACAAATGCCTAAAAGATAGAAAGATGAAAAATGCTTACTATGTACACATGTATTGAAACTTGGACTTCTTGCAGCTGGTGATCCATAGTCCCGAATACAGTCTAAAGAAAATGCAAAAAGTATTATTAAGCCATATGCCAAAATGGACTGATTTCTAATCCCCCATTCTATACTCAGCATGTTTGCTTTTCTACTGAATTATTCATATTTGTATAAATATACCTATACATCTAAAATATACTTTTATTTTAGAATATAATTCTTCTATTTTCTAATATTATGTAGGACACTGGTTCTCAACCTGTGGGTCGGGACCCCATTTGGGGTCGATCGACCATTTCATGGGGGTCGCCAAGCAAGGCTGTCCGCTATTTTTTTTGTCCGCCATTTTTTTTGCCCGCCATTTTTCCCCCTTTTCCGGCAGGTGCCTTACCTCCCTTGGGGTGGGCCAGCTGGTGGTCAGCCTGCTCTGCCTCTGCCGCTTGCCAACTATGCCTCGGCCGGCGCAGGGGGCGGAACCACGCATGTGCGGCGCTCCCGGGCAGGGAAAGTCCTTGACTTACAACCGGTTGGGTAGTCCTCGACTTACGACTGGTTTAGTCCTCGACTTACGACCGGTTTAGTCCTCGACTTATGACCGGTTGGGGTCACATTAAAAAGGTTGAGAACCACTGATGTAGGAGATTACCAGGCAGAGCCTGAGGGAGGGATCAAATGCGTCATAAGCAGTGGTGGGATTCAGCCAGTTTGCACCAGTTCAGCAGAACCGGTAGCTAATTTTTTGTTGCCCAGGCCCAGAATGGACTTCCGGAAGCAGCATTCACACAGAGAACTGGTTGTTCACATATTTGAATCCCACCACTGGTCATAAGTCATAAGTCCCTGCACGCCCGCAAGAGATCTCAGTCCAGCCCATTTGAATTCCTTCTTATTCCTGCTCATTTCCCTTGACCATTAGTAGTTCAGATTTTTGTAGAGAACTTAAGCTTGCAATAAATCATTATATTCATTTGAACTGCCTGAATCTTCTGATTTCCCCGGCACTGATTTCCCCGACATATTATTCTTTTATCAGATGTTGCATACTTGGTTTTTAAAGAGTTGTCCAGCTCAGGAAAAGCAAAACTAGGAATTCACTTGGAAGAGCCATATAATCAAAACTGAATATTTTATTCATCTTAAATAGTTTCATAAAATTAAAAAAACAGATTTGTAAAGATCAGATATGTCTCCACGAAACCTAAGAAATTATTCAGACTATATATTCCTATTTTAATAAATTTGATTAGGATATGAAAAATATGTAGGCATAAAATTTACTATCAACACCTTTGCTAAGTAAGTATGTTAAAAAGTGGCTTCACTGTAATGAAATATTTATTTCATATTTCTATGAAAATAATGTATGAATTATACCTTTTCCCTTCTGCCCCACTCCAAATTTTCAGCATAGTAAGCATTCTACTAAGCAAGCACTTACAAAAATTCCCTTTCAGGAATGTTTCATTTATTTATTTATTTATTTATTTATTTATTTATTTCATAAGCCACTGGGAGTCATTGTGAATGAGTTATAAATTTTCTAACTAAACAAACAAACATGCTTTATGTCGAGTTAAAAAAGGATTGAGCAAGACAGGAACACTTAAGATGTACTATATAGAGATAAAGAAGAGTTACAAGTAACCATTCTAGTATAAGACATGGGTGTCAACTGCCAGCCCGCGGGCCGGATGCATCATAGTGAAACCGCGCCCACCCATTGCCAGCAATGGCAAAAAAAAAGTCACGATACGCTGCAACACGTCACGTGACATTTTGAGTTTGACACTCCTGTTTTAAGACATAGGTATTTGAATTATAGTTAATGGTTAGGATTATATCCAAATAAAATTGCTTTCTTTCTGAATATATGGAATGCACTTGCTTGGTTTTATAATAAGAAAATCAAGATTGTTGGAGAATACAAGGGTCAACAATGCTACACGCACCAGGGTATCTGTGAAAAATTATGGAATATGTTTGAAGGAATTTTTAAAAATAACCAAACTATGGAAGTGACTAATCAAATAGTGTGTTTTGATAATTTTCAAGATTTCAAGTGATTCTTAGAAAATCAGGGAGTGTCTAGGATACCATGATGCTATATGTTTTATGAGGATCCAAGTAAACACAATTTAAAAAGTCATTGAAATTGCATGAAATATGACAATTTTACAAGATTTCTTTATTTTTTTTAAAGAAGGGGAATGCTGCCTGGGTCATTGCTAAAGATCATGTAAGAGCTGATCTCTATGGCAGATTAATATGCATACAGATTATGCCTGAAAGCAAAACAACACTAGCATACATAAATAGAGTATAACTGCAACTCACCCAAATATTTCGGGTAAAAATAATCCTGTGAGAGAAACAAAAGCACATATTTATTCAAAAGACACATTTAATCTAAAATAACATTAAGATTAAAATAAAGGCTAACAGTTTAATAATGGAGCAATACAATTTGAATATGTTGTTTGGTATTTGCTCATCCTATTGATCCCATTACCATTAAACAAAGCATTTTTTTCTTTTATAGAACCCTGAGTCACACTACTGAAGATTAATGGCTGAATACTCATGAGTAAACATCCAAGTTTATACTGCTTACTCATCAGTAAATCTGCTGATTAACGAAACTTGAGCTGCCCGCTTGAAAACAGAGGTTATGAGTGATCCACTGCAGTTTCAAAAACATATTGGTGACAACAGCAATATTAGAGGAAGGAAGTGAGTAGTCAGATTCAGTTTCTCGTTCTGCTATTTGACGTTAAATTCTCCAGCTGCAAAATCTGGAACAATCCCCTTAGTTATAGGAAAAGAAAGGAAAGTTTCAGTTTTTAAGCAAAATTATAAACCCTTAAGTCAGCATATGTTATCATCACTAGGACAGTTGAGTTCTTCCTTAAAATATGCGTTTATAATTCTTAGTTCAAACTTTTGGGCAAATAATGATTCCACTGAAGACTGTTATTAATGTCAATAACAGCTCCCAGAATACATCCCAGGAAAGAAGATGGTGCTAAAAGTAGTGCACCTTATAGTGAGTAATGATTCCAAATAACAGACCAAATAAGCAAAAAAGATGAAATGCCCATGCCTTTAAGGAATGTAAAACTGATCATGGAACAAAGTTCTCATAAATTCAAAACCCAACTTGTACTTTATTTCTCTGTTTTGGAAATTAAAAAGATAGAGGATTACACTCGCAATAAAAACAACAGCACATAATGACTTTCCCGATGTGAACCTGCATATGACTGGATTACTATTGCAATACTTAACACCGTGTCATGGGTGTCATGCCAAATAGATGCTACACTGTAAATGAGAGTAGACAGTATGAGGGTAAGGAATTGATGATAGATAGGCAATTGTGGTATGAAGAATATAGTGGTACACAGGACAACTACCAGTTGATGCAACAGTATCCTCAAAGAAAAAAATCAAGATAGAATGGATATTCTGCACATGCATACATTATGGTATTTAATATATCTGATTACTTCTTTTCCTTCAGTCCATTTAATCATTTCCAAAGAACTTTATTTGTAGGTATAAATTTTTTACACATCAAAACAGATCTTATTTAGTTTGGCAGAAAAAGAAGAAAAAGACTTGGAAATAGAAACAGGCTTTTTCTGCTTATATATTTCCACTTACTCAAGCTTCAGAAGGTCAATGCATTAATGTTTCTGTTTGGTTTACACAAACAGAACCAAGTACTTACTGGCATGAAACAGAAGTGCTAACATTTAACATTACAAGATTATCCATTATTTTGGCCGAATACTTGAAAACAAATCAGAAGTTGGAGGGAGGGCGGATTTAATTTAATCCTATGTTCATTTTTAAATTAAGTGTTCTCCAACCAACCCAACAACATTTATAAATATCAAATCAAGCAAGATCACAAATAATAAAGCTTATTATTTAGTTTCCAAAGATTTTGAAAGTGCATTTTCCATTTTAAGTTTCTGAACGCACTGTCATTTCCCCAAAACATAAATATTATGTAGTTTATTTATAGGTTAGAGCTGCCCTGAGCACCAGAAAGGTAGCCAATCTCTGAAGGCAAATTGGAAGTTATGTGCAAAAATTTATAACTTATTATAAATGTTTTTTTTTTCAATTACAAACAGCCTCCATAGATTTTAAGCACAAATAAAAAGGGCAGGAGTTAAATTCTAATATAAGAAGATAGGCTATAATTTCAATTTAGATAAATAAAATTAATAAAAGTAGAAGTATATGCACAGACAATAATTTATGTTCATGATCTAATCTATGTGCCCCAAAGCATATATTTCATAAAGGTGTTTTCCAGATATTTTGCATTAGAACTTACATAAATCTCATTTCAAATGGCCATTTGGATGGAAGTCATGGAAAATATAGTCTAACACAAGTGATTATCAAAATATTATGTATCTATAAATTCACTTTTTTTTCTAACATGTAATTCCTATTATAGATAGTTCTCGACATGACAATTTAACCCCAAATTTTGGTTGTTAAGTGAGACATTTGTAAAGTGAATTTTGCTCCATTTTGTGACCTTTCTTGCCCCAGTTGTTAAGTCAATCACTGCAGTTGTTAAGCTAGCAATATAGTTGTTAAGTGAATCTGGATTTTCCATTGACTTTGCTTCTCAGAAAGTTACAAAAGGTGATCACATGACTTCGGGACATTGCAACCGTCATATGAGCTGGTTGTCTGAATTTTGATAACGTGACCATGGGGATGCTGCAATGGTTGTAAGTGTGAAAAATGGTCACAAGTCACTTTTTTCAGTGTCGTTGTAAGTTTGAATTGTCACTAAATGAACAGTTGTAAGTCAAGGATTACCTGTACAAAGTAATGAAATTATAAATGCTTAAATTAAGTTTTTGTTTTCTAAATAATTCCATTTATCTAAAACAAGCAAAGAATTATACATTGAAAAAGAGTTTGAGTCTTGAGTCTCTCTTTTAAAATTACATGGTTGGCTACCTAGACATCCTCGAATGCTATTTCTAAGTAGCATTCTAAGTCACGAGGCCTTTGTCGGCCATTGCACACTGCCAACAGCGCCACCTTCACCCTGTCTTCTCCATCGCCTCAGTCCTGCTGCCCCCTCTCTGGCCAGGCCTGGCAAGTTCCCTTTGGCAAATGAATCCCTGCCACCCTGTCATGCTCAACGCATTAATCCTGGGGCCGTGCCCTTGCCCAGCGCCTGGATCAAGGGTGGGAAACAGGAGGAAGAAGATGGTGAAGGTCAGCAGGGGTAAGCAGTAGCAGCAGCAGCAAAATGCAGGATGGCCAAAAGGGCAGAGATGGGGCGGGGCAGGGAGATAGGCAGATGCAGAAGTTGAAGTACATGTTGTGGTCATAAATGCAGTCTGGTTGCCAAGTACCCATTTTTGATCACATGACTGTGGGAGTGCTGCAGTGGATATAACTGGTCATATCTACCATTCATGTAGTGCCTTCACAATTTTAAATGGTTGCTGAACGAATGGTTATTAAGTGAGGATTACTTGTAGTTTTTTTTTCAAATCAGATTTGTAGAAGGAAGCTTAGGATTTGTTGCTTATGTCAAGGAAGTATTCCTAACTAAGTTGTCAAGACCAGTCTACACTAGAAACTTCTTTTTGATTAATTGAGATTGCTGGATTTTGAGCATTAAGTGGCTCACAAATAAAATACATGGCAAGAATTCTAAAATAATGACTTAAACACAGGGAAAGAACTGCTGAACTTCAGCATGTACTATCAAGCAAACTGTTCCTCCAAGATCAGATTGAAAAGTCAATTTTGTTTCTAGCTTCACCTGACCTAGGTTTATAATAATATTTATGTTCATATCACATTCAGCTTTATAACCAAGACATTTCTACCCTCACTCATGATCCAGCTGTGTTTGGTAGGATGGAACAACTACTGAGTCATAATAGATAACTATTATCTTCATTTCATAGGCAGATTTTTCATTTTCAGAGCCACACATACTATGCTAAGCAAAAAACACATTTTAATCTAGTCTGTTCTTACTAATAATAGACATCTGTGCAAGAAAAAAATAATCAACAACATTGTACCGCCAATGCCAAATACACAAGCTTTCTGATAATAGATTAAACTGATACAGTACAGTGGCCAGTTTAAGAGGTCCTAATGGATTCTAAGACTTCTGAACAAAGTTAACAAATCACAATTACATTTTTCAAGTTACAGTCACGGACCAATTTATTTTTTGTTAAATCTAGATGCCATCCATCTCACTTTCCAAAGCGACTTTGGCAGCCAACGCATTACACTGCATCTACTCTGTAGGTGCTACACAGACGCTACCAAAGCACTTTTTTGCCTTCCAATCCAAACCAAAAAATAGTCTTCATCAACAATTATAAATTTTAAAAAAATTGCAAGGATGGAAGAAATATACATGCATCCATTATCTTGGGGATCTATAAACAGGGGATGGACTGGATAAGAAAGAATCATAATTTTTTATAAATTAGTAAATAGCAGACTGTAACATCAAGACTAGAGTCTAGAGTTTTCCCCAATGTTCCACAGTAGATATGCCCCCCTTTCTTTTATATATATATTCTTTTTGCAAAATCACACATAGAAATACTACTTACATTACATTTCTATAGCACTGGCACATACATAAGCAGCCTAACAATCTCTATTCCTCCTGGTAAATCCTATTCTTCCTTCCCTGCAGATATCACAGGAAGGGCTACTTCTAAGGAAGTCTTTGCTAATTGCAATTTCTGTACACAAAAAGAACTCAGGCAACACACATTCCCCTCAACACGATCCTTCAGAGAAAAGTAAGTAGCAATGCCACACCCACAATTACATGGGTATTCCAGGAAATGCTGGAATACTTACTTGTTGAAATGCTGTCAACAAGTAAGCTTATATTGGCTGAGATGTTCACACTCTTACAGATAAACAAAGCTAGAAAAGCATCCAAGGATGTTGCAATGACATTGGGTCTTAGAAGATGACAATATGGGGGCAAATATGTAGCTAAAAGAAGTTGGGAAATGATAGATAATAAAAATCAGGAGTAAAAAAGGCAATGGAGAAGTAGGAGAATACAATAGTATTTTTAGTGCATGGGTGTCAAACTCGCCACATCACATGACATGTTGCGATGTATTGCAACTTTTTCCCCATTGCCAGCAATGGGGTGTGCGCGGTTTTGGCATGACGCATCCGGTCCGCGGGCCGGCAGTTTGACACCTGTTTTAGTGGGAAAGAGAAGACTTCCCCCATCTCTCAGGAAAGATTGCTGTGTGTCCATGTTTGGATTGAGGTGATGTGCCTGCGTGCGCACATGCTTATAAATCTGAAAGCAGC